CTACGCAGGTCGCCGTGCGTGTCGGAATCACGTGACAGCAGATTTGGCGAATTTGAACAAAAAAATGTTTTAAAAAAATATCCCCGCAGGATGACTCCCGTTGGAATAATGCAACAGCAGCAAACATCGCTAAATGTTGAAACTTGACAGCATCCTCCTGAGGAGCAGTCGTGAGATGATCCAGCGAGGCCCTCCTGGGCTTAACAATCGTTAAGGACCCCGTCGATAACCTCCAAGCCACCCGGCCACCAGAATAATCTTAAACTCAACCGACTCAGCTGGATAATTCTTCCCCAATTAACAAACCTCATTCACTAATCGCGTTTGTCCATTGACTAATCCCGGAATCCACAACTCAAATAGTCCAGGACCGCTCATCTAAGTGCAAGTCACAGTCCCACAAATAAACACGCGAGGCTTTTCTACCAGATAACAACAGCAGCAGCAACGGCGCGATAATGATTAACCATAAAAAAACGTAATGATGTCCGATCCCTTTGACGATCCACTGCTGGATAAAGGCCTCCTGTTTCGCTACGCTGTGAACTAGACTTTGATAGTTGCTCATCACGAAGAATTCTGCGCAATTCGAAAATTGCTCATGGAATCATCAGCAGCAGCAATGTGCTCAGTAGCTCCATGTCCACGTGGAGGTCTGCTGCTGCTGCTGCTGCTCGCCACGACGAGAGGGCCTCAGTGGACAGACAGAGAGACAGACAGAGTTCGTGTCGTGTCGCTGGTCCTCCTCCTCCTGCGTTGAACGAGCCCAGACGACCACAGTGGGTTCACCGTGCGCTCCGTAGCTGTGGCTTGCAAGGCCACAGTCGCACTGTGTGGCTGTTTCCAGAGCCGGCCCAGCCACTAAGCGACCCTTGCAATTGCAAAGGGCCCCGTGGCCAGCAGAGGGCCCCCCTAGAGTCACTGCTAGCTAGTGAGTGAAAAAAATCATACATCAAAGGGACCTCCAACCAAATTTTGCTTAGGGCCCCCAAAGGTCTAGGGCCGGTTCTGGCTGTCTCTGTGAGTCTCTGTGGGGCTCGACAGGTCTCCACGCGTCTCTGTGTCTCTACGTATCTCTCTATATGTATCTATGAACCAGAATCGGAATATGTAACTACACCGGAGGAATCTGATGAGCTACCAAGCTATTTTGCACTGTGTCCAGTCAGTGGCGTTTTTTTGGGTGAGATCGCGTAAGTAATAAATAAATAGATGTGTCGTTAAACCCGCCACCACCCGACACAGCCAACTAGTAAGGGTTGTTACGTAAACAGAACGTGGGCAATTCGTCACTAGTACAGCACTAGTGTGTAGTGTAGTGTATAGTAGTGTAGTGTATAGTAGTGTAGTGTATAGTAGTGTAGTGTATAGTAGTGTAGTGTATAGTAGTGTATAGTGTAGTGTATAGTAGTGTAGTGTATAGTAGTGTAGTGTATAGTAGTGTAGTGTATAGTAGTGTATAGTGTAGTGTATAGTAGTGTAGTGTATAGTAGTGTATAGTGTAGTGTATAGTAGTGTAGTGTATAGTAGTGTAGTGTATAGTAGTGTATAGTGTAGTGTATAGTAGTGTATAGTGTAGTATATAGTGCAGTGTAGTGTATAGTGTAGTGTATAGTGTAGTGTATAGTGTAGTGTAGTGTATAGTGTAGTGTATAGTGTAGTGTATAGTGTAGTGTATAGTGTAGTGTAGTGTATAGTGTAGTGTATAGTGTAGTGTATAGTGTAGTGTATAGTGTAGTGTATAGTGTAGTGTATAGTGTAGTGTAGTGTATAGTGTAGTGTATAGTGTAGTGTATAGTGTAGTGTATAGTGTAGTGTAGTGTATAGTGTAGTGTATAGTGTAGTGTATAGTGTAGTGTATAGTGTAGTGTAGTGTATAGTGTAGTGTATAGTGTAGTGTATAGTGTAGTGTAGTATACTAGTCCAGCACACACAGGTTGTGTGTTGGAGAGCCAAGCCACAACATTTACAATCTGAAGTACGACGTTTCGCCAGTAATTACAACCAGCTTCATCAGGCGACAGCCAGATTTGTGGATAAATCCACCTGTCTCGTTCCTTACGTGGAAGCGTCGATGTGGTGACCACGCTTCTGTGCTCTTACGCAAAGTGGGGGGGGATTACTGAGTCTACGTGCATTATGCGATCCCTTCGATCTTATCTTTCCTGTAAAGTGTGTATATGAAAAGCCGTACCAACGGTAATCCCGATTTAAGTACGCTGCCCTTCATTAATCCCGCATTGACCGGCGTGGTGAAGTATGGCCAAATAAAAACCCACAGCCAACGCAGCATTGGGGAGGCCTTACACCCACAGCAGCGCTTTCACGAAGGGTCGCAAATTAGTCAACGTCATTGCTACATTGGAGCAATCTTAAAAGACGACCGGCTTAACCGGGCAGACTTTCCCAATTCACAAATGACTGCTGTCGTGACCAAATTGTGGGGTTTACTCATTCACCCACCACGACTCGCACGGAGTCCAGGGCCAGGGTGAGCCATCGAAGTACAAAAGAACTCATCACAATCCCACAAATAAACACACGGGAATTTCCTACCAGACAGCAGCAGCGTGACAACGATTAACTACAACACAACAACAACGGCAATCATTTCCAGCCCCAATTGTCAATCCGCTGCTGGATGAAGACCCTTCACACTGCTCGCAGAGGCCAGTCGCACCGCCGGTGCATATCTCCCGGTCGCCTCAATCGGTCAACCCACATCGAGTGCCGGATGAAGTTAGTGCGGGGCCTGTAGCGTGATGTTATAAAGGAGCCCTAACTAAATAAAAACACGTAAATATTACAACACAAATGTTTAACTTGCACAGTAAAGTTATTGTATTTTTCATTTGCTATACAGCCAGATAATACGACGAATCGCTAACCTTAAACACCCGGTCGTTCGTAAAAGTTGAAGGCGGTATAGTACTATAGTAATAGAGCAAGTGCAGAATCACTGAACCGCAAATGATAGCTCGAAAGCATTTAGCGCGGGGCCCTTGAACGTGCAGAGCCCGTAGCCATATGCTGCTACTTTTGCCACCAGGACAATCCGGCACTGCCCGCGGCGCCTGCTGGGTCTGTGCCCCCTGACTTCCACGCCGGCACCGCGAGCCTTCGACAACTGCACGTGAACACCTCCGCGGTGCCCCAGGCCAGGCGCAACGCGGCCGCTGGCGTCTCGTCCACGCTCAAAACGACCTGGTCGTGGCACAGGCCGCAAGTCGACGTAAAGCGCTCGACGTGTCCGTCATTGGACGCCGCCCGTGGCCTTGGAAGCAGGAAAAAGGGCAGCAGTGGCATTGACGACGACGATGATGTGCGGTTCGCGTGTTCTCTTGCTTGACCCCGTCGCTTCACGATCGCCGCGGTGAAGTACGGTCGAACATATTCTTGGTTCTCTCGGTAAAATCACGTAGAAGGGAAATAATAAAATAATAAAAATAAAACATTATAAAATTCTCACGACGTTTCGGCCACAACGCAAGCAGCCGTCCTCCTTGTGGCCGAAACGTCGTGAGAATTTTATTATGTTTTGTTTTTATTATTTTATTATTTCCCTTCTACGTGACTTTACCGAAAGAACCAAGAATATGAATCTATTATTTTATTATTTCCCTTCTACGTGACTTTACCGAAAGAACCAAGAATATGAATCTATTATTTTATTATTTCCCTTCTACGTGACTTTACCGAAAGAACCAAGAATATGAATCCCTGCAGTCACGAAAGCTTTCAATCGAAATTTTACGGTCAAACAGCCACCACGACCGGCGCGGCACTGAAGCCTTCATCCAGCAGTGGATCAGCTGAGCGCTGTGAACCACTCACATAAACCACTACGCGTATGGAACACGCGGTTTGACATAATCCCTTAGCGTCGTTGTGGAAAGTGAAAGGTAACAAATCAGGGCAGAAATAACATCTATCTGTCTTCTTCGATATGAATGAAGACCTTCATTTGTATGTCTCGCACACCTCGAGGGTACATCCCGACGAGGTAGAAAGCTGAAAAGTGGTACAGAGGTGGCTTCTAGGAATACAAACAACAGGGAAAGTCTGAAAATCCGAGATTTTTCATTTTAAGGCCCCCAAATCTAGATGCCCCATATACATGTTTGTGCCTGGTGCCATTCAAAAACCGTTCTAAATATAAGATTGCAGTCCGTGTCGTTTGCTTGAGCGTTAAGACGGCGAATAAAATTAAAGCGAGAACCATCGCTCTATCTTCTATTGTTTTTGAGATATTTCGGATTCAAGCGGTTTTGAACGAAAAAAATTAATTTTATGATGTTCAAATCTGAATAATTCGGAAACAGTAAAAGATAGAAGCTGCCCTCAAATACTATTACGTTCATAAATTTGTGTTCTTTCTACTTAAAAAAGAACGGAATTTTTGTATTGAGCAGTTTTCAATGGGTACGTCTTTAAATATGAGAAGTTGAATCAAGTCGTCAAACATGTTTGTGCTTTTTTTGCGGACAAATACACATTTTTGGAGTAGTTGTTAGTGTCTGATCGTAGATACAATTTGAAAAAAAAATCTAATCAGGTTAATGATTATTATTCATTGAAAATTTTTGCCTGGCGAAGACTAGTATTAAATATCGGTTAAGTTACTGAAAAACTATTTTTTTTTCCAGGTAAGTGCTCAACTGAGCTACAGAACTGGCCTGTCTGTCACAGATGATAGCACAACAAAAGTGGCTTATCCATCCCGTGAAATATATAGCGGCCCAACACTCTAAACGCGTGATTCTAAATGTGCGGAGGGAAAAACCGGAGAAAATTCCACGCGACCACGGGGAGAGAGACACCGCAAACTCCAAATATACGGGCTAATAGTCTTAAGTGAAAGTGCTCGTGCATGAATAAACAAAGAAAAACACGGTCGAAAGGCGTGTTTCAAAACGATAACTCCCCAAGTATCATTACCATGAGCCATTGTCTATCTACTGCTGGATGCAGGCCTCTCCTGCGAGGCCAGGCAGACTCACCGTGCGTGCTCAGCACGAAGCTGCTTGGGGTGCTGCGTGGCGCGGAGCTCTGCAGGGAGACGCGCCTCACCCTGCCGCCACCGCCGCCACCGGCACGCCGACTCAGCACGTGCATCCTCACCACCCTCACCACCCTCACACACCCTCGCCCAAGCTCACCACCCTCACCCAAGCTCACCAAGCTCACCAAGCTCACCAAGCTCACCAAGCTCACCAAGCTCACCAAGCTCACCAAGCTCACCAAGCTCAACAAGCTCACCAAGCTCACCAAGCTCACCAAGCTCACAACCCTCGCCACCCTCACCACTCTCACCACCCTCACACACCCTCGTCCAAGCTCACCACCCTCACCCAAGCTCACCAAGCTCACCAAGCTCACCAAGCTCACCAAGCTCACCAAGCTCACCACCCTCGCCCAAGCTCACCACCCTCCCCACCCTCGCCCAAGCTCACCACCCTCACCACCCTCGCCCAAGCTCACCACCCTCACCACCCTCACCACCCTCACCACCCTCGCCCAAGCTCACCACCCTCACCACCCTCACCACCCTCGCCCAAGCTCACCACCCTCACCACCCTCACCACCCTCGCCCAAGCTCACCACCCTCACCACCCTCACCACCCTCGCCCAAGCTCACCACCCTCACCACCCTCACCACCCTCGCCCAAGCTCACCACCCTCACCACCCTCGCCACCCTCGCTCACAGATCTATCCCGCTCTGGGTTGTTGTTTTTTTTTACATCGAAACCCAAACCAGCGTGAGACGATTCCGCTTGGCTACTCGCTGCTTGCCCCTTTCCACCACCACGACTACTGCGCAGGCTACACGGGGAAGCTTTGTCTTCGTGTCTCCACCGCGCACAGAGGACAGACACCACAGTGGCTGGGAGTAGAGTGGCCAGATCACAGCCCACTGACGTCCACTTACACAACTCCGCCTAACTCCCAGTCTTCCTTTTTAAACCTTTTAACAAACAACACAACGGCACCGCTTTGCAATCGAATCACAAACCCCGCAAATGAATGAACGTTCACAGGTTAGCGAGTGCCAGGTGAGTAACACCCCACGCGCCCCCTCCCCCCTCTCCCCCCTCTCTCTGTCTGAGCCAGGTGAAGCAGATGGCCCAGCGCCTCCTCCAATGAAGAGGCTGCCGGAGGAAGGGGGCGGTGGGGGGAGGTGGGAAGAGGAGGGGGTGTGGGGAGAGAGGGGGGGACCAGGAAGGGGGCGGGGCAGGGGTGAGGGAGGGGGGGGTCGTGGGCTGGCTGAACAAAGATCCCCCGTGTAGCCTTAACAGACTGTCTGGGCAAGTGTTGTTAGCGAGCACCTATGAAGGCCGGCACGGCACACGAGGGGATGGGTGGCTAACACCATGCCCGGCCGCCTTTGTCTCCCTAGTGGCAATGTTTACACATCGCACCAGGTACTCATTTGAGGCTGAGAGGGGAGGCCCAGGACCGCTTCAGATAATCGTTGCGGGTGTTGGCCGTGAACGGGGAACGAACTCTCGTTGCCCGGTTCGTAGCACATCGTGGCGCTAACCGCTACACCACTACTCCCTACAAACGCACACTCTCACATACACTCACACACTCTCACACACACTCTCACACTCTCACAAACACTCACAACAACCGCAATTCGCCACTAAGTGGCGGTGACGTCACCACGACGCTTGTGCCAGGCCATGTGCACCTTGAGGCCACGTGAAGTGTCGAACGCCCGCTGGCAGGAAGTCACGGGGCAGACCCAGGTGCCACGGATCGACTGACTGAGATGACCGAGATGACTGGCTGATGCACCACCTGTGCCCCCTACTGTGCCAACTTGCTGCGGTTTATCCACCCGGCGCTCCGCTCGTTGTTGTGAGCGTCGCTCCTCCGCCCTCCTTGTTGCTGGAGGGCGACTGCCTCCAACTGCCCAGTAGCGTCCTTCACGAGCCTCCTCCACAGAGGCCGATCTTGACACCGCTGGTACCAGTCATCGGCAAGTCCACTCAGCTCCACGTCCTCCTGTACCACATCATTCCATCTCTTCTCTAGCCCGTGCCGCGCCCGTTTAGTCCCCTCGATCCGGCCGAACAAAAGCTGTTTAGGCATGCGGTGCCTGGGCATGCGGGCTACATGACCCAGCCAACGCAGCCTTGCCTGCCGGAGGAGCTCACCGATGGAACTTTGTGCAGATATTTCAAGGATGTGTGAGCTCCTCACACAATCCAGCCTGGTTAAACCCAGGATTGATCGTAGGCAGGCCAGCCTAAATGTTTCTAATCGGCGGAGATGTTCCATTAGGGAGGTCCACGTTTCGCAGGCGTAGAGAAGGGAGGGAATGACTGTGGCCGAGAAGACCCGAAGCTTCGTGCAGAGCGACAGACCAGGTAGCTTCCACACAGCGTTATGCAACTCATGAAAAGATAATGCCACTCGACTGATTCGGAGTGAGACCTCTGCTGTTAAACCGAAGCCGGTCATGAGCACACTGCCCAGGTATGGGAAACTCTCCACTCTCTCCACAACTGCCCCATCACGGATTGGGAGTTGTGGGGGTGGAGTGCCCGATGTTACAAAATACCCAGGCAGGTGCTTTGTTTTGGTGGGGCTGATGGTAAGGCCCAACCTCCTATTGACACACTCCAGTTTCAGCAGCAGCGCCTCCAACTCCTCCTCTGAGTGAGCAGCGATTACCAGACCATCGGCATACATAACATGGTTGACCAATAGGCAGCCATTCCTTGACAGCAGATGGAAATTCCTCCGGTACAGCTACGGAAGGCTTCAAATCTACGTGGTCGAAATAGATGTTAAATAATGTTGGATCCAGAGGACATCCCTGCCGCACCCCAAGGTGTACAGCGAATGGCTCTGACTCCCGGCCACGTAGTTTTACCCGGGCCTGCTCACCATCATGAAGGTCCTTAATGAGCGTGAGCAGAGGGTCAGGGACTCCGAAAGCACGAAGAACAACCCAGAGCCCAGGCCTACTGATGGTATCATAGGCATTGACCAGGTCAATAAAGCAGAGATGTAGGTCTTGTTGGAATTCCCTACACCTCTGCTGTAGCAGACGGACAGAAAATATGGCAAGCCTCTCCTCAGCGTGCCTAGCAAGGCGATGTTGAATAATCCTTGCCAGGACCTTTCCCGGCACACTGAGGAGTGAGATGCCCCTGTATTTGTTACAGTCTGTGTGATCCCCCTTCTTAAAGAGGGGGGGGCACCAGGGCATCCTTCCAATCCTGCGGAACCCGTCCAGTGGTCCAGACTGTTGTTATGGTGTCATGTAGGGTAGTCTGCGCACAAACGCCACCCTCCCTCAGCATTTCGCTTGGGAGATCATCTCTGCCCGGTGCCTTTCCTTGTCTCAGACTCTGGATCGCCTTCAGTACTTCCTCAACGGATGGCACCTCAGCCTGCCACTCACAGGGGGTGACTTCCTCCTCCAATATTTGAGGCACCGCAGCCTCAGCAGGGTCATCGCCACTTTGTCCCATGATGTTTTCTAGGCTGAGGTATTCCCCCTCTGTCAGGATCTCACAGAAATGCTCAGCAAATCTGCAGACCTGTTCCTGGGGGTTTGAGATTGGATCACCGTTTTTTCCCCTAATTATGGTAATAGGTGTGGTGCTGCGGTAAGCCTCCTCATTTTCTGACGTGGGATGCTGTAAACGATTAGAGTGGGCCTGTCGCTTTTTCTCAACCATCCTGAACACCTCCTCTGTTAGCCAGGGCATCTGAGGAGGTCTGGACCGCCTACCCAAAGCAGCCATTGCAGCTGCATGAGTCACAGTCCTAAACCTCACCCATTTACCCTCGACATCAGGAGGAGTGGGGGACGATGCCAATCCCAGCTGCAAGCGATGATGAAATTCTTGCTTGCAACTTTCATCAGCTAGCTGAGACCAGGCCACCTTAGGTTGGAATGGGGTCCTGGGTGTACACCCACCACTGTTAGAGGAAGAATGGCAGGCGCATCTTACAGATGACAAGTCGATGGTCAGAGGGCAGATCAGCTCCACGGTAGGTCCTGGTGTCTGGCAAAAACAACCCCCTACCTCCCCGTGGTGCCGGACGGGCAACGATGTCGTGGACAGTGCTGTGGGGGGGGAGGGCCAATTCCGATTGGCCTTGCCCCACATGGCATCTGTGACCACCACAGCGGCTAATCGGGGGCTCTGGACGGGTGCGAGGGGCTGGTAACCTCTCCACCTTCAATAAATTACCACTTAACAACGTAAAAAATATAAAATTTATAAGCTTGTGCCAGAGGCTCCGGGGGGACAGGCGTCTATGACGTCTCCTGGCCAAACTCCATCTTGCGGAGCCATGAGAATGAATCTTTACCCTCGGGGCTCCTCCAGAAACAACAAAAAGCCACTACGAGTGGCCACGTGGAATGTTCGAATGCTCACTGCGGAGGAGAGGCTGCCACTCCTCTGTCGGGAGCTGGACCAGTACCGGCTGGATCTCTGTGGCATTCAGGAGGTCCGGTGGACCGGCTCTGGCTCCTGCCACCATGAGGGGTGGACAGTCCTCTACTCGGGGCAGGAGGATGTGGCTCTTCTTCATACACACTCACACACACTCACACACACTCACACACTCACACACGCTCACACAAACTCACACACTCACACACACTCATACACTCTCACACAGACACACTCACACACACTCTCACACACTCTCACTCACTCTCACACACTCATACACTCTCACACAGACACACTCACACACACTCTCACACACTCTCACACACTCTCACACACTCACACACACTCACACACTCACACACTCTCACTCACACACTCACACACTTTCACATTCTCACACACTCACACACTCACACACTCTGACACTCTCACACTCTCACACACGCTCCAATTATATATAAACCCTCCCTGGTAGACAAGAGCAAGTTGCGACAGGTCACCGAGTTCCGTCCCCCGAGATGAATTCCTAAAAGGATAATGAGGCGTGTGTGCGTGTGTGTGTGTGCGTGTGTGTGCGTGTGTGTGTGTGTGCGTGTATGTGTGTGTGCACGTGTGTGCGTGTGTGTGTGTGCGTGTGTGCGTGTGTGTGTGTGCGTGTGTGTGTGCGTGTGTGGTGTGTGTGCGTGTGTGTGTGCGTGTGTG